ATATTATTTTCAGTTCTACTTTTAATATATGAGTTCACATTTTGTAAATTGTAAATTAATATTTCTTTAAATAGTATACACATTTTTTAATTATAATATTTATTTAGCAATGATGTCTGATATTAATATGATGTATTTCCAATTGAAATGAAGTTGTTTAGGTACATAATCAATTAAAACTAATTTTGAATCGGCTACACATGATTCATTATTTCCTTATAAATAATATTATCATATTTACAGCTTATATTTTATGAGCGAAAGTAATCGATTTGAAAATTTGGAATCCTTGCCAAATCAGTGTAGCTTTTATAGTTTTATCCAGTTTCCACTCGATTTCTCAAAGAAAATACTAATGCATAAGACCCTCCGCTTCATYTTGGCCATGCTATATTTCCGTTATTTAAAGAATTTTTCTGATCAGGTATCTCAATAAATGTATTCTCAGCTCATCAGTTCTCATAAACTTACCAGAAGTCCGTTCGTTTAAAAATCATCCGGTTACTGCGATGCTCATAGAATTATATATTAAGATACTTTTGGATAGTTATCTACATAATTTATTTTATTTGGCAAAATTAAAATCCTATAAATCAAACGTGTTGTCACAAATATTTTCATTCAATATTAATTACGAAAAAATTACAATCTGGAAATGATTGTGTTACTTATAATTTTGTTTAATCTGTCAAAATGATTATAGGTGTACCTCCAATAATTTGGTGCGCATTACAGATTTATTATTCTCCTTGAAAACTCAATGAATACTTATACTTGGTACCAATAAAGTCCGAAATTTTAATTTAAATAAATGATTTACTTTATAATACAATTTATATTAAAATAGTCATTAGTTTGTTTGATAAGAATTAAAAAAGTAATTTAGCATTTAATTAAATTATTATTATATTAATTACTGAGGTGTATTTTAATTAAATTAGATTTAAATAATTTAAGAATTTAGTACTTATAGTATTTTATTATAATGTGCGCTAAATTTTCTTGTGTTCAAATGTCATAATGGCTATGTATTATATTTCACTTACATTTTATATATGCTAAATTTTGAAGCTGGATTTTCGAGCGCTTAAATGTTTACATCAAAATATCTCTGAACCATGATTATAGTTTAATTATATATGAGATAATTTTAAGTTAATTAAATTTAACCTTTGAATAAAAGTAAGAAATAAACAACTCTTCACTAAAATTAAGAAGTCACTGTGTATTGTATGATTCATTGAAACACAAATTATAACTTAATTATGTAGTCACTTAATTTAAAACCATCATTGAAAATGTTTTATTTAAAATTATTTATCTGTATACAATACGAACACTTGATAATATTGTACGTATCACAAATTTTAATATTCAATATTGCTTTATGCTTTATAGTTTAAAACAATTTTTT